TTGAACCTTTGAGTCCGGCCTGGCGGAGCTCTTGGTCCTTCCGGTCCTGCGCCTCTTTGGCCTCCATGACAGGGGCTTGGGGTTTGGGGTTTGGTAGGTTGAGGGTTGGGAGTTCAGCAGACAACTTCAACGAAAGCATCGGACAAAAACATACGGATCAGAGTCGCTTGAAGGATTGAGAGCTCAGAGTTTAGGATCTAGGGAAACACGCGATTTAGGGTATGCGATTTAGGGTTTCTCAGAATTCTTTCAGATTCAACACTGCCTTGACCAACTTCTCCACATGCTCTGCCAAGGCATCGTCAAGGCTGCAAGTGCCCGAGCAGTCGATGCACTGCCACTGCAACCGCGACCTCCTCGCAAAGGCTTCTGCGCTCCAACGTTTCATCGACTTGGCCCAGGTGGGCAAGCGTGCAAAAAGTTGCTTCTGCAGAGCAGGGCTCGTCTGGCTGCACGTGCCCATGAGGTCCACGACGATCACTTTCGGAGACCAGAACCCGAGCCCCCAGGCTGCGAGCCCCACTGTGGGGATTTCATGGGTGGAAAGCACGGACTGGGACAAGTTGCGCTCCCCCGTGATCTTCTTGTTGACCAGAGCGATGACGGTTCCTTGCGCTTTCTCGCGCATCCCGAGCACGAAGCTCATGCTCGCGATGGACCACATGTTTCCTGCAAGTGCAATGGTCTGGGCATCCTCGTAGCAAGCGTCGAGGTTCTGGCTCCCCTCGATGACTTGGCCGAGGAAGCTATCTGGGTGCATCGTCGCATGCTCTACTGACTTGGCAAAGTTGGAAAGCTTCCCCTTCGTCGTGCGCTTCTGCGGGTCCCCATCCCAGAAGCCGGCCCAAATCAGTGCATGATGATGAGTGCGGGTGAGCTTCACCAGCCAGTTCCTCAAAAAGGAGAGCGCCTGATACCGACGGAACGTCTCGTCGGACACATCCAAGGAAGCCACTGCACTTCTGGAGACTTGGAGGATCGAGACGAGCTCATCTCCCGAAGCAAAGATGTCGCTGACACTTTGGGTGCAGGTCTTGTTCGGGAGGGGAGAAGCATAGTAGTCGAGAATCCAGTCGGTTTTTGGCTGCAACCCTTCGCAGGTAAGCGTAAGGTTGCCCATCACCTGCTCGAGCTGCTGATGGCACCGCTTCGTGCTGCTACTCTGCCAGATCGTGTGGATCATGTTGGCAAGCAGATCCTTGGGCTTCCGCATGTCGGCCACCACCTTTCTGAGCTCCACCTCCTGCGCTTCTGCACCGCCGGCCTTGTGAGGGACCTGAACGGTGCCGGCCTCCACAATCATGCTTGTCAGGAGCTCCTGAAGCTCCTCGGCCGTGCTCGCTGGGTGCTCTTCCCACAGCCGCACCGGGTCGTTGTTCAAGCGGAGTCCAGCTGCAAGGGTGAGCAAAAGGAAGCGGAGCATCATCGCGCGATGATCCTACATGAAAGTCTAGATATGCCAGACGGTGGGTGCTCGGCTAACGGCAGCGGCTGCCGTTGGGCCTCAACCGCTCCATGGAACTTCGGGCTCAAGCTTTGGGACTCATGTCTTTGAAGCGCTTTTTGAGGCTGGGTGTTGGCGCGTGTTCTACGGTTTAGGGTTTAGGGTTTAGGGTAAGAGAGACCAACGTCTAGGATAAGCTCCATGCACTAACATCTTCTGAAACTCCCTGCTTGTCTGCTTGGGGCCACAGTCTTCTTGCTCTACCACACTTCGAAACCAGCAGGGAACTCCTGAATCAAAGAGTCTACTCAAAAATCAGATGGGATTAAGTAGAGGACCCCTCTAAAATTTGAGGATATATTGCCGAATTGCAGGCTTGTGGTTTCTCTGGGTTATTAAAGCACCAAGACCCCAGAAAACATTCATAGAACGCTCTGCAGAACCTTTTCAAGAAAACGTGTTCAAGTTATTTACGCTCCTATCCCTAAACCCTAAACCCCAAACCCTAAACCCTAAACCCCAAACCCCTAAACCCTAACTTTTGCCACAGGCCTTCCATGCCTCGGCTGGCAGCAGAGCGCCTGCCTGCTCCGGATCACGGGGCTCTCAGTCGGCTCTTCATGGCTTGGCGGGTTCTAGGGCGTAGGGTGTTTGTTTAGGGTTCAGGGTTTAAGGTTTAGGTTTAGGGTTTAGGGCTTAGGGTGTTTTCGGGTTCACGGGTTAGGGTTTTAGGGTTGATGGTTTAGGGTGCGTCATGCGCGGTCGCGAGCTCGCATCGCTCGTAAACCCACCCATTTCATTTAGGGTTTAGAGTTCACCCCCACCCCCATCAAGGGGGCCTTCTCATGATATGCGTGGCCTTCGGACGATGCTCTGCATCGTACGGCGTTTCAGTGCCAAGCCTCCAGCTTGTACATTTAGGGGCAGGACAAGAGGCGTCGTAGCGGCATTATATGGATATGGGCACTATCGGCGGAGGCCCACAAAAGCTCCACCATCATCGAATTTCTGCCGGTGCTTCTGGATGTCCTTCTCAACGTACGTGTAGGCTGCATGTTCTGGGTCTTTGCCACCGGGAGCACACCCAGTGCCTTACTTTAAGAAGAGAAGCTTTTTTTGCCGACGCCTTTTCCGCCGCTGTCTAGAATTTGTTTTTCGGTCGTCTGAGTCGTCGATGTGGGGGAGACCCCCAGTCACCATCGTTTTGTCAACAAAAACTTTGCCCGAAAGCCCTAAACCCTAAACACGCAATCAGGCCTTGGACAATAAGGGTTGGACCCAGATCCCAATACCCCTTAATTAAGGAATGTACCTTAAACTATAGGGGCCTTAATAGTATGATTTAAGGTATATTCCAAACCCTAAAACCCTAAACCCTAAGCCCTAAAAACCCTAAAACCCTAAAACCTAAACCCTATTCCTTAATTGAGGGGTATTGGGTTCTCTGAGGAGGGGCATCGGGTCGAAAATGGCCAGGGCACAGGGTCTCGGGCGGGTTTGGGAACTCGCAAAGCCCCTGAAACTTGGAAACCTGCTAAAGGCCCATGAACCCAGAGACTCCAATATCCCTTAATTAAGAAGCTTAGATCATGTTAGGGATCCTACTATAATTTAAGGTAGATTCCTTAATTAAGGGATATTGGAGTCTCTGGGAACCCCCACCAAAAGAAACCTTCCTAAACCCTAAACCCTAAACCCTAAACCCCTAAACCCCTAAACCCCTAAACCCTAAACCCTAAACCCTAAACCCTAAGAGAATCCGTATAGCTTGGAAGCTTGGAGGCCTGCGCAGCATGGACCGCCTCCCTCTGTGGTAGCCTCCAGAAGTACCTGTACACGGCTTCGGGTTTAGGCTCAAACCCTAAACCCTAAACCTTTTCTTTTAAGTGCAATGGCCCTTTCACTTTTAAAAAAAAAGTTTAGGGTTTAGGATAGGGTTTAGGGTTTGGGCAAGAACATACAATATGGGGAGTTTCGAAACACTAGCGGCTGCTATGGGCCTTGCAGGGCTCCATATGGGGCTTTTGGGGCTTGCAACGGCTGAGCAGGGTTTATTTGTGTGGATTCTTCAAATTTTAAAGCGGTTCACGTGTGAGAAATCTATATGTATGTGTCTACATCTATCTATCTATCTATCTATCTATATTTATTTATGTATTTATTTGTTTTTCTGGGTGGTACCAACCTTGCCCGGGAGGCTTGAACGGACTTAAGACTTTCGCTTGCTTGGAGGATCAGGGGACTTCGTAAGTAAGGTGCTTAACAGCTGCCTTGTTGCAATTATACTTAACTAGAAGCATAAGTTGTCTTGCTCACACCCCGGCTTGCTAAGTCCCCAGATCCTTTTTGCAAGGCTTAACCCTGAATCTAAACTTTAATATAAGGACCTCAGAGACGAGGCTGGGATTTCTAGGACCCCTAAGTAGAATGATTTAGGCTGTAGATGAGTGTTGGTTTAGGGTTTAGGCGCTTAAGGTACGGGTTCGCACACAGGAATGATGAAATTCAAGGTTCAGGATCATTTAGGGTTGGACTGAATGTTGAAAAGCAGTTGTTAATTTAACAGCGGTTTTCTAAGTACCCTGAACCTCCACGTGTATGGGCATACTAGCAAGCAGGGAAGCGCGCCAACCTCCGGAGCATGCACATGACTTTTCTGCGGCTGCACAAGACGTTGACCATGCTGTCCGTGTGCTCCAC